ATCAGTTGGGAGCAAGCAGAATTATCTAGCCATATCTGCCACATACACTTCCCCATCAACTGGGCAAGTTTTGTCACCTGATCCAGCACCATAGCATCAATGACAGATAAAGACCAATATCCACCTAGACTACCCACAGCTGCTCTATACAACCAGCAAAGAGCAATACAAACATACTCCCAAGAGTTAACAAATTCACCCAGAGACAGGTTGTAAGCACCCCAGTTTTATCAAACTAGCAACCAGAGTAACATAACCCCCTGCATGAATATATTAAAACAAAACAAAACAAAAAATCAGGGTGAAGCAAACCAACATAGAATAAATAAATACAGTTACACTGTGATGTCTCAGACACAACAGACAAATTACAGCAAAAAAAAAAAAAAAAAAGACAAAGTAACTCAAACTGACCAAAATATAGGGCCAAAATTCTTGCAGAGGAAGAAATGCAGTTGCAACTGCCTGAAGTAATACAAAAGAATTGTAGTTATGTTCCATCAGCAGAATGATAAAGATATCGAGGAAAACACCACAAAGAAAAACATAGACAAAATAAAGGAACACTGACAAAGCACAAAAAGAATGAATAATATAATACAAGAACACACTGACAAGTAAATTGAAAGTTAGGTATCCTATCAAAACAGTAAATATAAATCTAGAAGAATGATATGAAAATTTCAGAAATAGATAAAACACTGGAAGGACAAATGAGTAAAATTTAATCTATGGAAGACAGAAAAAGCAAAATTGAAAACAAATCTCTTAATACTAATCTATTAAAGGAAGAATCATAAAAAAATGAAGAAAGTCTAAGAATTATCTGTGACACAATCAAGATAAATAACTTAAATGTGATCGGAATTCTAGAAAAGAAAGAGACAAAGTAAGGCACCAGAAAATTTTTGAAGATATTTTGGATGAAAACTTCCTTAATATCAGGAAATAAAAGAAGATATTCATTTAAGAAGTCCAGTGTGTCCTAAATAGGGTAGACTCCAAAAGAAAATCACCAAAGTATATAATAGTCAACCTTTCCAAAATAAAAGAGAAAGAATCAAAAGTACATTAAAAAAAATCAAATCAACTAAAAAGGAGAACCAATGAAGAAACCACCATACAACAGAAGTCATGCAGACAAAAATACAATGAAATGACATATCTAAAACTTTGAAAAACAACAACAAAAAAATACCAACCAAGAAGAATCTTATATCCAGAAAAATATGCTTCTCAGGACATATCCAGACAGAAATTAAGAACATGTCTAAAAATGGAGTAAGCCTTCAAGAAATGCTAAAATGAGTCTTTTGGACAGACAATTAACTATTGAAGACAATAGCCTGATATTAAGCCACATGACAATATCAACTGGAAATCAACCCACACATGGAGTTTTTTTTGGTGCCATTAACTCATAGAAATGCTATGTACTACAAAATGTAACACTATCCAGTCCTGTGTCATCCTCACAATCATAGCCATCTCAAGCCCATCATTACAGTCACTATGTCAATCCATCTCATTGAGGGTCTTCTCCTTTTTCACTGAACCTCTACTTTACTTTACCAAGCATAAATGGGATATTATCAGGGAATGGCCACCTGATAACATAGTAAAAGTAAGAGAGCCATTTGTTTTTTCTCCCTTCAAAGTAACATTCTGGTTGTATTTCTTCCAAGATAGATTTATCCATTCTTCTGGCAGTCCATTCAACACTCTTTGCCAACACCACAATTGAAATAAATTATTGAATCACCTTTCTTTGAATGGACACAAATACGGATGTCTTCCAGTCAGTTGGTCCAAATTTCTTAAAAGAGATGAGTTAGTGCTTTCAGTGTTTTATTTGTTTGCTGAAACATCTCAATGTTAATTAAATCAATTCCTGGAACTTTGTTTTCACCAGTGCCTTCAAGGCAGCTTGGAGTTCTTACTTCAATACAATTCTTCATCATATGCTACTTCCTGAAATGGTTAAATGATTATTATTTTTTTTTTACAGTGACTCAATTTATTCCTTCAATCTTCTTTTCATACTTCTTGAATC